GGAAATGTTAAAATGTCTTGAAAATGATGGAAATGTATAAAAAATTTCTGAAATGTTAAATTATAGAAATGTTTCTGAGATGTTGGAAAAATCTCAAGTGTTTCGGAAATGTGTAAGGTATTTTGAAAACTGTTTAGAAAACATTCTCGGAAATGTTTTGAAATGAAAATTATATAGAATAGGTAAGGTATCTGCTTTTAACGTCGTTTTATATTTTCTATAACGAAGAGAGAAGATGCGGCGGATCCGTCGAAGCTTTTTATGCACAGCGAGGAGAGGCGGCGCAGCTGCCCAAACAGACGCGATTTTTTCTGGTATTTTATTCCTGCCTAACAAGATAATTTCATATCATAGTCGCATAGTCATAAAATAGTATTGTTGCGATGTGGGCGCGACATAATCGTCGATAAGATTGATCACCCAATAACAGAATCTGGAATTGGAAAGGAATAACACTTGATCGCAAACTAACGTTCGCACTTGATCGCAGATATTCATTTAATTAATCATGGAAATGTTTATTGTGCACTTCAGCATTAACTTGTACACGAACGTGATTAATAACAGGTAAAATCGTAATTAACGACCTGCTACTTGCCGCGAAACTGAAATATTTATTTCGTACTTCCTAGAATAACAAACTATGACCGCATAGATCCATGACGGGCGACGTTTACTTTCAACTTACCCATTTTACAAAAAACCCAAATACAAAAATTTTGCATTAACAATGTTTATGGCGAATTAAGTAGGACGTGTTGGTTGCGTCACACCTACACCTTGATTTATCAGATAAGAATGTTAGATACAATACGGAAAAATTCGTGCCGCAACGGGCGTTCTAAGCATCAGAAATCACGCGAGTCTGTTCTGGAAGAAATCAATGGGGCACCCACCCTAACGTTGTTTTTGTTTTCATCCCTCTCGCTACCACAACACACACAATCGGTATGTGTTTAAACCGTTTAAATGAAATCGATTTTTCTTATCTCAGCGAGAATAAAATCGCACACGTTTTAATCAAATCGATATCATTTATATCAACCTGCGATTATTCACTTTCGCAAAATTAAAAAAAAGGTAACTTTTACCTGCGAGCCGGGAAAAATTCCATTGTTTTCCGTTGGTTGTGGCATTTTTTTAAGTCCTGTCAATATTGAATTAACACCTAAATGTTTATTAAACGGAACTAACACGATAATAAATTATGGCGCGCACCGTCACACACATCCCTCACCACCAAACGTTGCAACGCGACTAGTTGAAAATACGAGTAGTTTACTAACACTTCGTCCGTATTCGTCACTGGTCGTGAAATTGCGATTGTGTGTTAGAAAATTTGTGCTCAGTCCGGAACGGGGGTTGGAAGAATTGATGCACTCTTCTTCACTGTTGCTGCAAAAGCACCAAATTAAATACAATTAGATGTTAATGAGACCAATAGGTAGAGTATAAGCGCAACTCCTTGATAATGTATTTCTTATTTCTAAAAACAGGTAAATTGACCAGTGCTTTCCGTTGAATAAGTGAACGGTTCACGTGTGTATTAGTTGTATCTTGTATATCACTGAATAACGAAATTAAAGCTCAAATTTAGTACACAGATAGACCATGACAAATAAGTGATTAAATTCCTTATACTTAGTTTTGCGTGGGTTATGATAATTAAATTTATTGTAGCGAAATTTCTAGAGCGATATCAAAGCGCCATCAAGTCGATAAAGGATCATTCACCGGTGATAAGGAATTAAAGCGGACGTGCCACATTCCTTCATGATCTGCCGATTCGAGACTTCTTTAGAAACTGTTTGTTTGATAATGTATAATATAAGCCAATTAAATTGTGTTAAATTTCAATTCTAACAGCGATGCCGAAGTGATTAATAGTGAAATTCGCGCTTTTGCTTAAGTGCAGATGTTTCAAAAAAGCTAAGATAAGGTTTTCTTGTTTTTTCTGTGTATGACAACCTTGTACCTTGTGCAATTCCATTACGATTACTCGCCATTTGCATTTTGCATTCTCCACATTTTAAAAATATTTGCAATTATACAGGGTGCGCTCACAAAGTAGGGCGCCAAAATGGTACATTTTTTAAATGGAACCCCGTGTATTTGAATGCATTTTTTAATTCTACGTGTAATTGTACGATTTTTTTATGTTAATGGTTAATAACCGAAAAACTAGTAGTTTTAAAGATTTTGATTCCAGGTTAATCCATATCTTTTTCCTACAACTGTCATAAAAACCTGTCATTTTCTGACGGATTTCGAAACGCGAAGTACTAGATTTTTAAACGGTTAATTAATAAGTAAGGTTGCTCTTGACAACGTGCGCGAAATCGTCAACAGTGAAAAAAAGTATTTCGCACACGTGACAAAGTTGAACTTAAACAGCAAATTTAATTAACAATCGGTTCAGTTGTAGAAAAAATATTGTATATAACGCTAGCGGGAAGTTATTTCGCGCATTTGACTGATATTTTAACTCGGCTTCGCCTCGTCAAAATACCTTCAGTCTCAATGCGCGAAATTGAACTTCGCGCTCTTGTTATATAAATAACTATTATCTACATATATTGGGTAAAGTAAAAGTAAAATAAATACATACATCTACTATGAAACATTAAAAAAATAGCTTAAAGGATGTTTTTTTGGTAGGTCCAAAGTTACAAAACTTCATATTAAAAAATCTCACTTTTTTAAATAAAACACATCTTCATCTTTTAGCTCCTCCAAAAACCTTGAACTTTTGATAATAATGTCCTATACATTTCTCTGATAGTTTTCGAAATATCTTGGTTTTCCTGGTTTTTATATTCTAATCTTAAATAACTTCATGTAATTTTCATAATAACGAGGTGGCCATACAAAAAAAAGCCATAATTTTTATCTGCCTCGTCCAAAAAGAAAATCATATTGATTATTTCATTTTTCGAATAGTTCATTTAAGTCTAAAAACTGGAGTTGAAAGTTGAAGGTTTTTGGAGGAGCTAAAAGATAACCGAAAAAATAAAGAGTGGTCTGTTTAAAAAAAGTGAGATTTTAAATATGAAGTTTTGTAACTTTGGACCTACCAAAACACCCTGTAATCTATTTTTTTAATATTTCATTAGTATATGTGTTTATTCGAATTATACTTTGCCCAGAATAAAACATATAGAACCTGGAATAAAAATTTAAGAAATTAGTAGAATTAAAAATGCATTCAAATACAGGGGGTTCCATTAAAAAATCTACCATTTTGACGCCCTACTTTGTAAGCGCACCCTGTATAATTCCAAATATTTTTAAAATGTGGAGAATATTCAACCATATCATACTTTTTATTACGAATACAATCATGTATGGCCATTGAACTGTATACCTATACTCTGTAACTGGAAGGACATCGATAACTAAGATCACGTGCCACCTAACGTAGGCTGTGGTAGGTAACCTCATCCTTATTTGGCATGTTGGCAAATTTAATTTAATTTTAATTTTTAAATTTTAATTTCATTAATTATTTTGACATTTTGTCTCAACGTCTACTACACCAAAATGTTAAAAATTTAATAACAGGTCTTTTTTCTGACTTAAATAATAAACAATTTTTAACATTTTGTTGTAGTATCGAAGTAGGAATTCCTTTATAATAATAATAATAATCTTTATTGTTGTTACGACAAAAAATTTTTTTGTTTACAAACGTCAATTTTGAAATAGACAAAGAACAAGGGACAACGCAACAAAGGAACGTTTGCTGCCGGATGTGCAAGGCACAAGCGGACCGTCACCACTGTAGGGGTTGACAAAATGTCAAAATAATTCATTGATGATGCATTTAAACGACATAATAATTAATAATAATGATTTATTATACCGGGCGGTAACTTGAACAATAACGCACAATAGGAATTTCAATAGTAATTTTTTCATTTCTGATTATTGGCTCCCTAATTGTTTTAGAGATAAAGTCTATTTAGGTTTTTTATAGAGAAATAATTACGAATCCATGCATACTATAGCTTTTAATTTTTTGCACTTTGAAACCAAGAAAATAGATAACCAAAAACTGACGCTCTTAAGAAAATCAGTGGTGCCATGGCAGCTCTTACAGTAATAAACGTCCAACTAATGGCAAATGCAGACGTTTTTGTTTGATTTAATTCCATGGCATTGCCGACTTTATAAACGCGACAGTTTTTAATTTTAAAAATTTTTACTTATTCTGAATTTACAAAATAGGAAAGATTAGTATGTACAGATTTTTATTTTTTTTTTCTACAAAAAACCTAAATAGACTTTATTTCTAAAATAATTAGTGAAGCCAATAATTGGAAATTAAAAAGTTACTATTGAAATTCCTATGGTGCCTCCGTCAAGTCAATTTTAAGGGAAAGATATTAATATATTTTGTGGAAATGCGCTAAAGACGAACAGTTCATTTCGGCTTTTTAAAACATCATTTTACTAAGCCCTAAAATACGCAACGTTTTTCTAATTTAACAGACTGTGTATCTCTTATATGGTTTCTGATTGGACACGCTGTATAGTGGAAATCATGCATCAACACTCATTCGGATGTACTCAAAAAAAAGCAGATTATCTTTTCTAGATCATTAAAAAGGTAATACACCAAGCTGACTTAGCTTTTTTATTCAAAGGATGTATGATCATCCTATTTTTAAAACGTGCCACTTATACATTACATTTAAATACAATATCATCTGCGATGAAGAAGTCATGTTTGATATGCTGTAAGCTGTCAGCATTTGAAAATAAATTGCAATGAAATGCTCGGTGCAGGGTGTCACTACGGTCTCTATGCTCAACGATACGTCATTACACCATAGTCAATCTGTGAACTTTTTAGAATTTGACGCCTATCATTTCATAATTTTATTTATTTATCGGATGGCATAATTCAGTTCAGTACCTATGATAAAGCTAGAGGATGACATTAGAGTACCTTACACACTAGTCCAAAGTTCAGGGATATGTTACAATCCAACAAATGATCCCTTTATATATAAAACATTTATTACATCACAATTATTACAATTCATTAGGAATGTTACACTGCAATATAATGCCATATGCAATTTCATTGAACTGAATGTTGAGCGATCTTAGAAATTCCATCAGTTGATATTTCTCAAACGACGGAATAGTCCTTGCGTCGTTTCCATGCTTGTACTGTACATCAGTCCCCATCAATTTACATTATTCATTCGATTAGTCTTTAAGCTGCTCCGAATATTTTTTTCTATTTCAAACCTACGCATGTCAGCCCTCTGAAGAAAATCTTGCCGTTCCAAGTATCTACAATGCAAATACAATTAACACAAATTAACAACGAGCAGGACAAACATACCCATCTTTACTTTTACCATATGCACTAAGTTCGTCTTCTATCTTCTCTTCTTTTTTAAATTGGTCCCAGTCTAATTTAGATTTTTCCAATGTACTTATTTTCGATTTCTTACCGATTTGGTTTAAAACTGAGCCAAGACCGCCTCTCGCTTTCGGTGCACTTGATCCCGAAGGAACGTTTAATACTTTAATATCTTTAGAATTTTTCGATACTTCCCGTTCGATTTTGACGTCTTCGCCTGCAAATTGAAAAATTTGCGTCACTTTAACTTTCTCGTTCCTGTCCGTTTTTAATGTGTCAGTCTGTTTCGGAGTGTCAACAGCCATGTTTGGCGTATCTCGTCGCTCCGCTCTCGTTTTAAAACCCGTATCCTGTTTAAAACTAGCCCATAAATCGTCCACGTCGGCCTTTTTAATTGCTTTTGGTGGTTCGTCCTCGGTGGATTTGACTTTTTTTTTAGATCTCGAGTTTGTCTTCTTCCGTTTGCTGCCGCGTGTACCTAGGCTCTCCTGCGCCTCCGGCAAGGCTTCTTCATAGTCTCCATCGGATTCCTCTTCCGATGGTAATTCAGGATTTCCGTTGTCTGGAGCATAATCTTCGTCGCTGGTCTCGCTATCATCGGGAAAATCGGCTATATTCATAATTGATCACACCGCTCACACTTGCTTTTTAGAGTTTATGCGCGGTTAGTTTTTATGTTGCTTTTAGTCTAATTTCAGTTCAAAATTCTGTTCGATATTTGTAAATATCAATATTTCAATAAAAGAACGCGTGTTTGACACAGAACTTTTTCGAGAAATTATAAACACAGTACACACTAAACCAGTGCTGCCAACCCAAAATTTTCGTTGTCGTGTACAGAGTATGTTACATTTTGTGATCGTACTTTTTATAAATGACAATGACCGTTAATAAACCATAGTAGTGATCAACTCGTCTCCCGTGACCCATGTGTACAGATATTGGAAAACGATGGGGGTCGGTTTTTGAAAACTAATCGTTTCTATGCGAACGCGCATATTTTAAGTTGCTAAGATCAATTTTCGACCAATACGTAGAACCACTCGCAATTGCTATAGATAGCGATCATGGTATAGTTTCGAATACACATGGCAACATGTCAAATTAGCCCAACCATATCTAATTTGTAATTTTCATCTCGTTATCTTACTTCGGTTGTAGATAGGAATGAATGCGTTTGATATTTTTCTAAGTGTTACCACGGTAGTACCTACTCGTTTTAATTCTTTGTCTCAATATAAGCTAGGTAGGTACTTTAAATTCAGTTTTTGAATTTCATGTCTTAGCTTGTTTTGTGAAGTTGCTTTAGATTTCATAGCTGTTCATTAAAGGCATGTGTGTCCGCTATTGTTTTGTTTTACCGTTAAATGAGTCATGGTTTAGATGTGCACGTGGCACCGTGGTTATGCGGGCAAATTTTGTGGTAATATTCACGTTGAAGTAGCTTATCATATCAGTGTGTTGTTGCCCTGTATGTTTTGCTTAACCGTTTATACCACAAAGAAAGCCACCTAATACAGTTTCGATTCTTCGCTGCCTTTGTTCCTTCCTCATTTCGTAAGAGCCAGCTGGTCTCTCTGCCAGATGACCAAGATATCTCACTTTCTTTTGGAAAAAGGTGCACTTCTTTGATCGAATTTCTATTGCCTGAAGGTGTTAATCAGAGGGCCGAGACGAGAGACAGTGTATCCTAAATAATATACGTGCGCGACGCGTAACGCTTTCTCAAGTAGGTATGAGCTCCATATTAACCATTCAGGACGAAGCCTTTAGCCCCAATATAGTAACCGGAGTGTTCAGAGATCCAGGAGAACTTAGCACCAGCTCGGTGCTAACGCCCCCCCGAAGTGACTTGCCTGATTAGTTGGCGATGATCGCGGTTATTGTTTACATGACACTTGAGCGCGAAAGACGACCAGTCACACTGCAGAGTGCTGCCATGCGATTTCTTATGACCGTACGCGTAGATTACAGGGGGACGTTTCCAATGAAAGGTGAGTTTACCGTAGAGTTGTCGCATCTTAATAATGAGTTCTGACCAACAATTAACCCCCATTTAATTAGCTTTTTCCCTTGTCAAAATACCAACTCTTTAGCCCCCCACCCCTTCATTCATTACACTTTATATTTTAATTTTATCATTTCATGAACATAAGTTTAAGTATTTTAAAGAAATTTGTCCTGGTTTAAGGCAGTTGTTTACTGCAGCTGCCAGTGAGGCCAGAATTGAGCCTTAAATTTTGGTAAACCACAGGCTATTTTACCCTTAATACCAACTCGAGTTTCCGTGACCAATCGGTCCCGAGTACTGCCACTTTTCCGTTGCGTTCGTAGCAGGCAGGAACATAAATAACCAACGTTGGATATTCAATGCCTTAAGCGAAGGGGGCCGCTCAAATGAAGTTGCGATACAATAAGCGACAGGGCAATGATGCCGATACTATGAGTAATTAAGCGATTTGATGAGTCGTAATCGGGAAAACAAGTATGGTGGGACGCTAAGACGATACTCATTAACATGTAAGTACCTACTGGAGGCGGTTAAAACATTTAGAGGTTGCAAACGATTGTGGAAATTGATTCTCCTAGGAGATATTCGTGCATGGGTGGCAACGAGCCACTGAATGGCAAAAATGTTGAAGATAAGAGTGATGGCTGGCATATAGAGATATAGGTTAGGCCTATTGGATCTCTTCGGCGACATTAGAAGTGGAGTGTGGTGTTGTAGTGTACTTAACGACTTAACCCCCAGGTTCTACGCTAACTTCACACTACAAGAACACGGAAATAAAGTCAACCCGGCAACGTTTAAAAATGGCCACCCGAGTGACTATTCCCTTCAAAACAAAACAAGATCACGCTTAAATTTGAAAAGTGGCACGTGATAAAACATCTAAGGCCGGGCCCCCTTACGTTAGTCGTAGACAACGCTTTGACCTGAAGCATAGTAGGGAAGGAACGTTAAATAAAACACTGAAATTGTGAAAAGTTTGTTTAATAATGATCGTAATTATTATGATTGTGAAAGCCCGGAAATTTAGTTGATGTACCTACATTAATGTAAACAAAGCAAGCAAAGCCAAAAGGTGTCGTACTCTCGCAAAAGTAACTGCTAAGGGTAAAAAGAGTAAAAACCTTGCAGTTTGATTAAAACAGTCCAAAAGTTAATTAACAAAATATTTTGTAAAAGTTTAAGCAGTAGTTAACAAAGATAGTAAATGCATATACACAATGTTAGTTCCACTCAAGGTTAAAAGCAAGTTTTTGGGAACAATGGATCAGGTAGGAGCAGGTACCTAAATTCTGAGAAAGAGTACAGGATGTGACTCATCTTTGGTGTAATAAAGTCCTGGTGTTAAAAGCAAGATGGAAAATTACAGGGCCTTGTAGGCAAATTTAACTTATAACAAGATATGTAGAAATTACTGAATCGCCACTCATTTATCGCACATAGATTCTAAACTGAAGAGCTTTGATTAGCGTAATCCCGCTCCTGCAAGATGGGTAGCCGCCCCTGGTTTCGGGGTTTGGAGCCTACAGTTGGATGTCGAAGACAATCACGGAATTAGGTGTGGTAACTCAATTGTGACTACACCCCCGTGACCGCTTCTTTCAGGGAGAAAATTGTTAGTAACAAGCAACAAGTCAGTACATACATCAAACGAATCAGTAATTTCAACATATTAAAATAAAATGATCAAAACTTACATGAATGTTACTTCATGGAAAAGACCAAGTAATCAACATCAATGAACATCAATTAAGCAAGCATTACACCAAAAACGTAAACAATTACAAACAATAGCATAACGCGCATGTGATTCTGCATTACGGTTAAACCAAGTAATTTTCGAAAACAAAGATTAAACACACAAAAAATATAAAATGCGGCATAGAAAACACAAATACGATATAAAGAAATGCAAAAATTACTACCTGCATTAATTAACACAAAATAACAACAAACATTTATGGAGCGACGCGTACACGACCGCCATTCAAAACAAGATGCCATCCCCGTTCGTGCTTTAGGTGGCGCAGGCAGATTTTCCCACCTAGAAATTGCCTTGTTGCCAACTCTCAAAAATGTATGTATCGTCGTAAGTTGTATATACAGGATGGAACCTTTCAGTGTTAATTGTGCAAGTTGTGGTATTTAGGCGAAAACGTCTCTAACAAAGATTGGGTTTTCATTATTATAAGCAGGAATCGTACGAATTCATATTATGTATGGAATGGGAATTGGGTTACTGTTGGTGCAATCTGCCGAACGTTGAAAGTGTGTGTTGTGCATACTTCGGTCAAGTTTATTGCTGTAGATTTAGGTACATTAACATTTAGGAGTTCAAGCCTGGTAACTTACTACTCCTTTTTACAACGAAATACAATGAGTTCACAAGCAAAAGCGATTACTGATATGATAACGCCAAAACCATATATCAAAAAAACGCCACTAAGATGGTCAAACGACAAAGCCACCACTTCATCTTCAGATATGAATTCCCTTTTTTTAGTATTTGAATGTAATTCTCTGGCCTTTTCCAGCCTATCGTACAGTCCACTCTCTGTGAGCCATATGATGATTTCGCTTAGGCTATCTACAATGTAAGTAGTTTCGTCTCTTGCCATTATGTGTAATACGGGACCAGTAACGCGATTGTCTATAAAGTAATTAGGAGTGCGTATTTGTAAACTCAATTCAACAGCCTGCAGTGTTTTTAGTAATATGGGCATGCAAAAATTGGGCTGCGCGGACCAACGCGCCATTAATTTAAGAGTGTCATATTCATTTAGACAATCCAATCTTCCTTTCAACTTGTGATATACTTCAACCACTTCCGGATAACCTTGGTAAGACAAGACGCCCTGGACCGTTTCGTCAACGCAGACAGAGAGATCCGCTTCAAGCAATTCCTGTACACTTTGAAGTGGTTTCCTCATTGGTGGTGATGTTATGAGACGCAAAAGATTTCCAACGTACGCCGTCTGTATGTGTATGCTGTATATGATGTAGCACATGACGAGGAACCGCAAGGTTGAAGATTTGGGCACACGGTTGACGCTGCCCCACAACGTCATACTCGCTGTGTTCAGAACGATTCTACCCAAACCCGTCTTAAATCGGCTGAGCACGTACCAGACCAAAGTCAACAAAACAAAAGTCGCAGTGGCTAGTAACCAAACTTCTCTTTCGAACGGAATCAACAAGATCTCCAAATTTGACACTCGGTCTGTTGGGGAAACAATCCACGCAAGAAGGTCTCGCGAATACACGTAACTGACACGAGTATTTGCATAAGCACTACTTGCTAACATCAGTTCCGTAAATCCGATGCATCTACTTTTGTTCGTATGCGCTTCTGCATAATGCTTTGTTTTTAAAGAGATGTTCAACACCTCAACTGCGGCGTTAGTAGTCAGAGTCATGGGATTAAATTCCTCCAATTTTAAAACCGAAATAAAGTAGAATAGGGCAGGGCATCCATTATAGTTTCTGATACCCTTAGGAATGATTTCTGTCGGCGAAGTATCGCAACTTTGCACGTACACAACTTCGGGTAATTCTCCACAGTTATTTCCAGCGCCGTGAGGGTTTGCCGTAAATAAGTTGGATCTGGTTGGTTCGTTTCTATCTATCGCTAAGACTGCGACATAAATAACTTCGTTTTTCCAGAACAGTCTAAAAATCGTCTTCACTAGCGATACTTGCTGGGTTATCACCAGTATTCTTCCATTCATATAATTAAATCTAATCCAAGTGATCTTGTTTAGTATATAAGGGATTCGTTGTTCAAATGACCGGAATTCTCCAACACCAATTACGAAATTGTAAAGGAAACCTCTTTCAAGGCTGTTGCGACGATCCATATTGATAACAATTTTTGGATTTTCTAAGTTGAAAGGTAGTAGGTGATTGCCATTCTTGTTAAAAATGTAATAAAGCGACTCTTCGTTGAAAATGTTCTTAATTACATTTTGCGTACATACCTGCCATGCAGACTCATCGGTTATTGTATTCAGATGACCTGTGATGAACAGAAAAGAAGCGAATACACAAATCAGAGCAAGTGTCCTCATGACTGCTGGTACGACGTCACTTTAGCTACGTTTCTAGAGCAATGAAAGATAGCGTTGCATGCACAAACATGTTTTTCAATGTAATTGGCATATCGATTGAAAATGATTACAGACGTGGTAATTTGTTTTCCATGCACTTCAAACGTTGTTCTGTTTTATAATTCTCATTGGTGCATTTTAAGTATAATAATTTTAAGTGTAATGCAAAACAACTTGCAAATACAATTTCACTCAAAGCGTGTGTTTATGGATTAATACTCGTAAGTAATGATTTAAAAATGCGGCAACGTGAAATTGTGATTAAACACTATTATATCTGTCTTCTTTGTGTTCTTCGTATGGGAAACTAGTGAAAAAGTAGCTTTTTCTCCTCCCTCCCCTTCCCCTTACCTCTATACCACTATAATTTTAGATTCCGCATTATATTTACTTGTCTTCAATTTCATTTTTGTAATTTTTCGTTTGTCAATTTTGTAATTTTATTTTACTTTTGCTATGTTTTCATAGGATTGCTTAAATCAAATAATCATTAACACCCTAATTAAGTATTTATAATTTAAATTAAAACCTATTGTAATGTTCCTAGGGGTCTATCAAGCCGACACTGAAAACGTTGACCTACCCTATACTTATCGTTGGCAACTCTGGCAAAAAAACTACAAGCACAGCCACCTAACTTTCAAGTCGAAACGATGGACGTTTCGCGACACTTTTCAATTTGGATGGCAGTCGGCTCGACATGGATGGCACGAATGTTGTGTAATCGGTTCTTTTATGTGTTGGGACGTGAGACATAATCGGGAAGGGAATTAAATAAAAGACAGAACTTTTGTGCGTAAGAAATGACAAGAACAAATAAATATATTACGCACACAACAAGACCATGCCAAGGAAACCTTCTACGGGACAAAAACCCCGACATAGGCCACACCATTGATTATACACACGTATAATCAATGGCCACACAAATACATGAAATAAATCACCTACAGCAATAAAATGCAAGAGAAAATACACATAAATAAAACATCTCAAATTGTATGATAAATCTCAGGGAATCAAATCAAATCAAATGCAATTAAACAAGTTCATAAAAACAAAATACACAAGACATCATAAATGAAGTGGAAAACCTAATAAATCAATATCGCACAAAACACATCAAAATACATGTACGATCAATTGAGATAACACAACTCGTAATAGTTATTTGTACAACTAGTTTTGAAAGTGATACTTTTTTTCATGAATTTGCAGTTTGATTAATGAGATTACCATAGGTAATGAAACGTCAACCCCTACGGAGTCACGTTAATAAATCGCAAATATACAGGGTATGGCCGAAAATTACTTCTAGGCACACTTTACGCATTACAGGTTCTGGCACTGGTTACGGTTTATGACTATTTTTTGTTTACTTTAAGCAAAGAGTACCCAACTCTTTGCTTTAAAGGTGGGGTCATATAGCTCTCCGTTCATCCGTTGCGTTGATCCCTCAAACGGATAGTACATTTTGTTAAGGTTCATAGCAATCCGTCCACATTGTACATTTGCAACGTATAAACATAACCTAAATTTTATTTTGTACTGTACCCACCGTGATTTTCAGTATGTAAAAATGGTATGAAAGTAAGAACACGTTGCTATCTGATTATTACCATGAAGAACGAATAGGCGAACACTGTTAACGTACCAAACATAACCTCACTCTTGTTAAAAACGGACCAACGGAAACGAAAATGTTCAACTTCAACCAACTTTTCCGTTATAAACGGACGACGTACGATTTAAAAATTTGCTGTCTTCTGATTGGCTAACGGACAAACGGAAACGTATGAACTGAGAGCTATGAACTGGTTCCAACAGAAATAGAATTGCTCTATGTTCTGTGGTACTACATGATTTGGCAATGCAGCATTTGAGCTTGGTTTTGAGTCAGAGTAGCCATCTTCATGTGTAATTAACTATTTATGGTAGTTTACAGCACATGTATTATGGTAGATTTTCAATGCTTTAGGTAAGTATCTACCTTTTCTTTACATTTAGTTTTACATTAAAGTGTTTAAACATAAGAGCAACGCGTAAAACAAACGTAAATTTCTCCTGGGAATTTCTCTTGAAGTGAACACAGGTACGACTTCCACTGTTTGATTACCGAATGAAAAGTTTGTCCAAGATCCCAGGACTACTAGAGATTACTTTTTAAATAGTATATTAGTAGTACCTTTAGCATTTGGTACCTATGCATAATGTTCTCTATCGGTACCAACCGAGGTACTAACACTACTTTATTCAACAAATTTTGTTACTCGGAAAGTAAATAATGTCTGGCTACCCTGGGATCTCGCTGTGTATTGTTTAGTACCAAAATAGATTTTTAACACATTTATTTATAACCTCGTTTATGACATTCTTGTTGTTAGGTATGGAAGGAGATAACGATAATAACACACCACTCATTAAAATCGAACCAAAACAAGAAGAGGAAATCCATTCTTTTCTTCAGGGACACATTTCAATAAGCAATGAAGTTTTGGTGCCAATAAAGGACGAAATTACCATTAGTACGCTCTCTTCTAAATCTCTTTATAGTGGTGACATACAGCATCACTCTGATTTTTTAACCCTGTGTAAAACAGAGTCTAAAGATTTTACATGTAGTGATTGTGATTATGGGACAAATAATATATACCTCTTCAAACATCATCTTTTAATACATAAAGTTTCAAAGGATTTTAAATGTGCTGATTGTGATTATGGGACAAATGATAAATACGTATTTAAAAAACATCATTTAATACATAAAGATTCAAAGGATTTTAAATGTGCCACTTGTTATTATGGGACAAATAATAAATACCGCTTCAAACAACATGTTTTAACACATAACGTTTCAAAGGATTTTAAATGTGTTGATTGTAATTATGGGACAAATAATAAGCACCTCTTCAAACACCATCTTTTAATACATAAAGTTTCAAAGGATTTTAAATGTGCCGATTGTGATTATGGGACAAACAAGAAATTTAACTTTAACCTACACCTTTTACAACATAAAGTTTCTAAAGACTTTAAATGTGCGGATTGTGATTATGGGACAAATAATAAATACCTCTTCAAACAACATATTTTACAACATAAAGTTTCAAAGGATTTTAAATGTGCTGCTTGTGATTATAGTACAAATAATAAACGTAACTTCAAACTACATCTTTTAAAACATAAAACTTCTAAAGATTTTAAATGTACCGATTGTGATTATGGAACAAACCATAAATGGAACTTCAAACAACATCTTTTAAGACATAAAGTGTCTAAAGATTTTAAATGTGCTAATTGTCACTATAGGACAAATAATACACGCCACTTCAAAAGACATCTTTTAAAACATAACGTAGTTTTTATATGTGGTGCTTGTGATTATGAGACAAACAAGAAATTTACCTTTAACCAACATCTTTTGAAACATAAAATTTCTAAAGATTTGAAATGTGCTGATTGTGAATATGGGACAAATAATAAATACCTCTTCAAACAACATTGTTTAACACATAAAGTTGCAAAGGATTTAAAATGTGCTCATTGTCATTATGAGACAAATGTTAAACGGAACTTGAAACGACATCTTTTAAAACATTTTAAATGTGCTAATCGTGATTTTGGTAAAACCTATCCGAAGCAGCATCTTTTAAAACACAAAGAGTCTAAAAGTTTTTACATGTGCTAATTGTATTGTGAGATAAATAATAGGTTGGACTTCGAGCAAGACCTTTTGGAATGCATTAGGCATTGTCTTTAAATCAGGCCATGGTTTAGGGCCCCTATGCTGCAAGGGTCCTGACTCGGCACACTGCTAATTAGCTACTACAATTTGAATATTTAGTTAATCCCTAGATACATTAACCGATTCTTTATTAATAGGTACCTATATGTCACAAAATGTATTATAAGTATGTGTATAATAAAATAAAATTTATGCATAGCAATCATAACACACACCAGACACAGAAAGTGGAATAACTTGTATCATTTGTTTGGTTTGCTTGACAGTTTTTTTAATTTATTACATTGCAAATTAGTTCATTTCTTGTGATAAACGACTTGACTGTACTACAACTGACCTTAGCCCATAGATTATAGCGCTGTTCGTTTATGCGTTCTGATCACTGCTCTAAGGGACCCTACAGACCGACGTTTTTGTAAATATATTAATTTGAGCTTGCTAATTCATTTTATTTTGGAATGTCTCATTCTAGAACTCTCCCGCGAATTCCTGTGGAAATTTCTGGAATTATTTTGTACATTTTCTTTTGGAGCCCGGCAGTTCTACCGTTTAGAACGAACTCTAACTTTACTTTAAATATTGGCAGTTTTTCTCTTTCGTTTTATGGGAGACAAATAGAAGTTCCGTTGTTGACCTTGTTTTGGTGCATTGTGGCGGGGAGAATAACGCCGTCATCCCTCGTAAACAAATAAAATGCAAGGATATCGACATTAAATTGATTATTTATAATTAAATTTCTTGCAGCATTTCATCATATCTTTAGCAGGTTCAATATGTTGCCGTTCCTTTACAGGGTGCTTCATCTGGGAGCGAGTTGCGTTAGAGGTCATGATTTTTGAACGATTGCACTTGAGATTGAAGTATAAATGACGTCAATCATCGCATATGCGAAGAAAAAGACATGTCTTGTAGTGGGCGGCTACCTGCGGCTGTTTTTATACTAGACGATCAGTATATAAGTTTTTGCTATGATATCCTTTTTGATTTGTTGTAACGATAATTAATGCAACCCTCCTTCATTTCTGTCTCAGTTCTACTTCCATACATTTGAGAGGTTCCACCCTGTATATACAACTTACGACGATACATACATTTTTGAGAGTTGGCAACCATGCAATTTCTAGGTGGGAAAAAAAGCTGCCTGCGCTACCTAGAAAGCACGAACGGGAGTTACGTTTTGTCATCTTGTTTAGAATGGCGGTAGTGAACGCGTCGCTCCATAAATGTTTGTTGTTATTTAATGCAGGTAGTAATTTTTGCATTTCTTTATATCGTATTTGTGTTTTGTTTGCCTCATTTTATATTTGTTGTGAGTTTGAATATTTGTTTTTGAAATTTACTTGGTTTAACCGCAATGCAATCATATGTGTGATACCGTTATGCTATTGTTTGTAATTGTTTAACTTTTTGGTGTAATGTTTGCTTAATTTATGTTTATTGATGTTGATTACTTGGTCTTGTCCCTGAAGTTACATTCATATAAGTTTTGATCTTTTTATTTTAATATGTGGAAATTACCGATTCGTTTAATGTATGTACTGACTTGTTGTTTGTTACTAACAATTTTCTCCGTGAATGAAGCAGTCGCGGGAGGTGGAAAAAGAAACTGTAGTCTATAATTATGTGTTAGGGCACCTAATTCCGTGCACTGTCTTCGAAATCCAACTGTAGGTTCGAAACCCCGAAACCAGGGGCGGACTACCCATCTTGCAGGAGCGGGATTACGCTAGTCAAAGCTCTTCAGTTTAGAATCTATGTGCGTTAAATGAGTGGCGATTCAATAAGTTCCATATATTTTGTTTTTAGTCAAATTTGCCTACAAGGCCGTGTAATTTTCACAACTACACAACAGTAGCGTATAAGACCCCACCCGACTTTAACTTAAAATCGTGTCCGTGAAAATTTTCGGTCTGTGTGCTATTGGCTATTGGAGGCCATTTTTAGCATAAAATAAAATAAATTTTGTACAATAAGAACGTGAAATGTTTAAAATCCATGACCTTTTGTATTTGTTTCGATTTTTGCAATTAGACCATCCCAATGTGATTTTGTGAAGATTTTTGTAAAAAGAATTTGTTACTCGATGAGAGGCGCATATTATAATTTTACAGTGATGGTAGCAACAGGGGGTTCGAGAGTGAATACTAAAAAGGCAACCCCCCCATTAAAGTTCCCCTAAATAGATTTGTACAATTTTTGAATTATTATCGAAATTTAATTATAACGGTGGGTTATTTTAAAATGAAAGTCCTTAAGTTATTATTAGAGTCGACAATACCCCTGTTCTCGATCAATTTCAGTAAAGTTGCAATGATTATAGTAAAAACGTTCGTAATAAATGAATATTTCAATAGCTTCCGATTACGCCTTTTTAAGTATAGTCGGTCGATTTGAAAGAAATATCCGTTCTCATTAATATTCTACGATGAATTACCCTATACATTAAATATTAATGTCTGGTTATTTTTGATACCAACTACGTCAAGCCTAAACTTCCTAAAAGTATTTATAATTTTCTTAAATGTCAAAACAGCCGTCAGTTAATTTATTTAAATGAATTGTATACCAAATATTTATTTACAAATTTTATAAATAAAATGTGAATTAGACATATCGATAAAGTAACACTAAAACCAAAGACACTATATTGATAAGTATGTGAGTACGAACAATTTTTTGTTCCTATTATTCATCAACTTGTGATAAAGGTTGATATGATAAGTTTGTTTATTATTTCAGGTAGATTATGGAGACGTATATCCGATTGATCATGAGCTAACAGGCTCATTCCGATCGCTGTCACAATTAACAATGTCCAAGAGTTCAGATATAGACTCTTTTAGTACGGTATTCTGGCTCCAGCAAGATGCTCTTAACAATTTTACAAAGATGTGGTACCACGTCTTCCTATGGGCCTTGTTCTCTTCTATTTTTGTACATACGGTTCGTTTCGTAAAAGGTAACGAGAGTTTGTTAGTAACACGTTTTTTTGCAGATAGCAGCATTAATAGCATTTTTAACTTTAAGAAAACACAAATTCGGAAAATTTTTTCCGATATTAATTTTATTAATGGGAGTTTTACCTCCGATTACTTCCGGTATAGTAAGTAGTGCTGTTATAGCTTTCGTATATAAATCGGCCACGTATCCAATGGAACCTTTGTATGCTCTCTTTTGGGGTGTCGGACAAACTGTTGTGTCGGCATGTATCGGTTTTACGCGCATCTTGGCAACTTTATAAATGTCTTGTAGAATTTTTTTAGTATTAAAAACCGGTGATCATTAAGTATTTTAAGTTCACTACAACGTGATGGTGCTATAAGCATAAATAGAATTTACGTCTGCAATTTATTTAAGTAGGTAAATTAATTTATGTTGTATATTTTCAAACAAATGTATAAAGTACACGTTTAGTTTGTAGGTATCTTTTGTATATATTGCACTGTATAAATAGCTTAGCGGAGATTAAATAACGAGCCTAATGATTTATGATTAAAAAAGTATTCCTGTACCCTTTATCGTAAGGTAGCGCTTGTTTATTTTGTAATATAATGTAGCCGCCATTTAATATTTTTAAATATACAATCGGTAGTAAAAGTAAAGCCAATAATTATTGCACAAAAGACTGATCCACTTGTTTTAATTATCAATGTTAGAATTAGGTAGGAGATGTGTTATAGCTGCAAAATTGTTTAGTCAATTAGTTTAGAATATTAAATTAATTACACTTGCCATTAATGTTCCCTTTCGATTGTACATTTTTGAAGGAAGGATTTGTACTTTTTTCATTTTTGTTAAACGGTTCAGTAAAACCTTAAATATATTACGCAAGAGAATGTTATGTTTCAATATTAGAGTAGGTAGTGTTTTGGACTGGCTTATAAAGATTTTGCTTACAGATTTAGCTTATCATTTAACTTGGATAACCACTTTTGTTTTTACTTATAACAGGCAACAAGGGCCTTCCAGTAGTGTAAGATGGAAGGCCTCTAGAAAGAAAGTCATTTTTGTTTGTACTAAACATAAATACTTGAAAATTGTACCTAGATCAGCGTACCTACATATATGCCATAAGAATAGAAAGTGCAAGGTTTTTGGCCTCACAAATGCAACAATTGTGAATAAAAAATGGCACTTTACTTACCCAAGTTACATACCGGGTGGTGCACGGTAAGTAGGAACATAGGGATGGGCAAATTAGTTTTATGCAATATCCTGCCCTCCTGTACATTTTACAGGAAAAACTGTAGAGTTTAAAGTTGTTCAGAATTAAAAGATGCATATAAAACTATTTTTACATGTTTTATTAAGCTTTTGTTATACCTGCAAATTTAAAAATAAATTTTAACATTTCTGTTATTTTATTAGTAGCAATAGCCATTACTTTTGTTGTTTTATGAATTTTGTCTATTTGCGGCGGCATAATAAAATTCGTTCAGCGGGCCGCATGTGGGTAGGTTGAGTATGGCTTCTCTAGCTCATTTCCTGTTTACTTACAAATGCACGGTTGTAAGGTATTAAATTAACTAAAATACATGAAATGCATTGTTAATTAGTCGGACCTTCTCCAGTCCAGAAGGTATCTGAAGGTCCTGGATAGGGTAATCTTCGATTAAAGTTGTATTTCGAGATGAATGCCGCTAAGTATGCTACTTCGGCATCTATCTCTGCACGAGCGAAAAAATTACCTACTACAAAAGGCAGATTTGTACACAAAGAATTGAAGTCGCTAATCAATCTAAATGAGTTTAAACAATCAAATGAACATTATAAGTCGGCCACCGAGCCAGTTATAATTCATAGAATTTTAAGATAAGCGCCGAATGAGTGACAATTAATTAATACCGTAATTAGGAGTCTTGCTGTGTAATATAGGTACGGTGTACGCTGCATAATCAGAATTTTCGTCTAATAAAGATTTTCACTACTACCTTAACCTAATTAATCCAGTGATCGGAATGGAAATTTTCGCGAATCAGAACGCAAGCACTGCGATCGCATAGTCAAAAAATTATATTATACAAACTTTGCATACTGACTACTGAGCAACTGGGCTTTGCAGTTTCCGCCCGCATGAGAAATGTAAGCGCGTACGTTACCATGGAAAACACATACCGCGCTGCGTGATAGCGTCTGCGGGCTAAGTAACATAAGAGGATTTTGGTCGCCCTTTTGCGCACGCTCTACTTCTGTATATGACTGATTGCCCCTTTATTTTTTATGTAAGTAATTCGGAAATTATGTAATTTTGGAAATCAATGCGTTAAATGACTATAAAAATTGATGAAATGTGAAATATGCGCCAGAGCCCCACTGCACGAACCGCCAATCAATTTACCGCAGACACACGGAAATTCAAATCTCCCGCACAAATTCAAACTTACCGCTACAAAATGGCCGACATCCGGAAACTCAAAAATTCAAACTTACCGTCACAAAATGGCGCAGCCAATCATAACACAGTACTGTGACGTCAGAAAAAGGAAGAGGGAGGAAGAGGAGATAGATAGCCGGGCCTTTACTACTTATGTACTCGTATATGAACCTTAGACCTAGCCTTATTCTTATACCATATAGTATATGGTATGATCTAAGAGTACATGGACTGCTATATATTTAGCCCTATATGCTTTCAATACAAAATGGGTGGTCACGGATAGAGGGCACTGTAGTCGTGGGGTATGCATTAATATATCTGTGTGGGTATGGAATCTCAGAGTAAACTAAAGTCGTATGAAACCCACTCGGATTGGGTAAAAAGTAGCTTTTATGGCAACCGCGTAGTACGTACGGGAAGCTTTATTGATTACTTTCTATACGTCCACAAATATAAGAACAGCTTTGCTTTTTTGTCATATCTAGGCGATTTAATTAATTGAAATTTCTTAATTTATAGGTTGACAGTCTCAAATCGTGTCCCATTGGACAATTTCGAACAGACTCGTTTACCCTGAAACTCACATACCCAGGTGATGTCCTTGATCATATTTTAGTTACAATACAATTAGCAGTGCATGTATGTACCTATACTATATGGTCTAAGATCTGAACTGTATCAACACTGACAAGTTATTTAACAGCTTGAATATGAATGTGTTTAAATTTGGTTTTGAACGTTTGTTCCACCACTATAATGGCGGCTATGACATTACGCGTGCTTCACTTGAGCGCATTAGAGCTCTTTTACACGGGTATACCGGGTGGTGCCTAGAGCGACGCAGCATAGGAATTTCAATGGTAATTTCTTATTATAGTCAATTACTAGCTCCCCTAATTATTTTAGAGAAAAAAATACTGCATTTGTTCATACGATTATTTATAATTTTCCGTTTTTCAAAACCGTAGAAATCCACAAAATAAAATAATTACATTTTTATAATTCAGCGATGCTTTGAAATCTTTTAACAAGCGCATCGCAGCTATAGTGACATTTTCATTCTAAATCAGGTTTTTAAATCCGTCTTCCTAGTTAAAAAACAGAGTATAGGCACAGTGACTATAGTCTAATGGAACGATATCGAGAGGTGGATGTCGTCTAGTATAAAAACAGTCGCAGGTAGCCCACCACTGCCAAACTTATGTCTTTTTTTCGGGCTAGATAGAGATGAAAATATAATAGCACAATTTGGTACACCTCACAGGCGTCCAGTTTTGCAGTGGCAACCTGCGATTACTGACGTGACTGTTTTTATAATTTAAGATATGTGTACAACCTTCGAACAAATTAGTGGCACTGGTATTTGCACCTCTTCGCAAACTCGGACGTACCCGGTATCGATGCTTACGGCGTTTAGACGGGCAATTATAAAGTGAGCAGCTGCCAAAATAAAGAATATCATCATCGTTCTGCATGGTAGCCTTGGTGTCGCAAGTTTCGCCTTTTTTTCTGAATGATCGACATTGTTGCTTTGATGGAGTCGGGCAGATATTTCTCGACAAATTTACGGAAACACCAACAAAAGTTGACTTGTCACCGACAAATGTTGCTTTGGTGGAGTTCCGCCTTTAGACAGGTATCCAGGATAAAGCCGGATTTATAGTTCCGTAGCCGTAAGAACGGAACCGTAAAATCTTACGTTAACGAAAATAATACGAAGCTGGCACTTGCCACTACGGAACTATAAATCGTATTATTTTCGTTAACGTAAGATTTTACGGTTCCGTTCTTACGTTCTTACGGCTACGGAACTATAAATCCGGCTTTACATCCGTGGGTAGAATAAAGCTGGATTCACATGAATACGAAATCCCACGATACGGTCATCCGAAATGCTTATGATTGGTCAATAGTTTGAAATGTCAAGCACATTTCAAATTATTGACCAATCATAAGCATTTCGGATGATCGTATCGTCGGATTTCGTATTCATGTGAATCCAGCTTAAGGGTTATATTTTCAAGTCTCAAAAACGTCAGGATAAACTCAATTCACTTTCAAATTAGTACAATTTCACTTGAAAACCCAAGAATAACCCAATGTTTACAAACCACAACCAACTATACACGTCATTTGAAAATTGCACTAGCCCCTCTAGTGTAAATTTGAATAGGCGTTTTTTCGCGTTGACCTAGTCGAATAATTCTGGTCAGGCTTGGTTTGATCAATACAAATTCATGGTCATTTGAACAGAGCGCGAAAACAGTTTTGAGTTATTGGTCATTTAACATAACCACAATTCGCGGTACATAACCTATAATTAAACAATTATGAACGCAGAATATCATTATTAATTCTTTTAGTATGTACCCTGATCAACTTGTGTGGTATATGCTTTATTAGTTTCATCATCCAATAAAGTAATTTTAAACATAATTGGAAAAATAACCGCTCGCCATGGCGTAAACATCCAATATTTACTCTTAAGGCTTGTTTAGAGTTTGCAAGTTTTATTGCGGGCAATAAAAATTGCGGCAATATTTATTGCACGCATGCGCGCAAGTGCACTTTTCGATCAGTTGTTGCAATTTTTATTGCGTTGCAATTGCAATTCTGGTGACTATTTTAGGGGAATTTTTAATTCCAACATCTAGAATTACTATGGCACCAACGATGTGAAGTGTGATAAATGTGTTGACAATTTTTGTTGTTCATAATCATCTTGATTGAAATGCACAATAAATAGATGTTAAATGCAAATGACAAATCGAAGATATTTTGTACACACTTATTTAAAGTTATAGAGTTGGTACTATGCAAAGAAAACTGCAGACTGTGAACACTTGTTAATTTGTTGCAATAAATATTGCCGCAATGTTTATTGCCCGTAATAAAACTTGCAAACTCTAAACAGGCCTTTACGAAAACCTAACCTTACAATTCAAAACCTCAAAACAAGCGGCGGAGTACGGTCAACCTGGTCATGAACGGGTAAATCTTGCGAGACCGAGACCCTTGTAGAGGCTAGAAATTCTTTGACCGGGAGCGGGAAAACAGGAAATTCTTGACCACGTTCAATGGTCATTTGAACTGGTCAACGCGAAAAAACGCCTAATCGCGATTCTCAGCGTCTCATACTTTGTAGCTCATCTCATGTGCACCGGGCCTAATGCTTTAACTAGCGGTAAATGTGTCTCGTCAGCCGCGAATCTGGCGGTGAAGTGTTGCAGACAGGATGGCTTGTGAGACACTGTACTCTGCAGGAAAGTTATTTATGGCAAAGTTAAGATTATGATAATTTTATAAATTGCATTTAATTTTTAACATTTTGATTATCGAGTGTATTCATGATTAATTTATCCACAGGACAAATGAATAAGGTAACGTATTTGATTTTTTCAATATCACACTTATCTGTCATCATTTCGTTTTCGTTTTACATTTTTAGTTTCAAAACCGTTTAAGTTATGACGTTAAGTTCTTCAAACTCGAAGAGATCGTCAGCAAAACATAAGACTCGATACGAGAGAAAATGTAGAAGAATGGACACATTTTTCGCGACATCAAAATTAGATTATTCAGAATCGATAAAAGATGTCTTGAGCAATTTCTCAGTTCCTCAATGCGAGGCTGAACCGTTTGCAAAGCGACCTCGCAGAGAACCGACCATGAAGCCAAAAGCGAAACTGCGTTTAACAGAAACTGGGGTTAGTGCCTCTTTGGACGTGGCGCAAGGGGAAAGGGTACCACTTTTTCTGTCCGATTTACAAGATTTGTTGTTGTATGCGCAGTTGGGGAGTCACTCTCCTTGCGTGCCTCGTTGGTGCCAGTTGGATAAGTACAACCAGCTTGTGCACACTACTGTTTTAGTTGTAGAAAACGTTTCATTGTACCATTTTTCTTCGTACGAAAGTTTTTTTCCCTATTTAAGTGCGAAGTTTTGCAACAAATTAGAGTTTATACCCTCGGCCGCGTACAAAATGGATATGGTGCAAGATTTGGCTACGCTACCGTTGACAGTAGCACAAACTGTTAAGCTTACATCCGTTTATGGTTCATTGGATCAGACTTCTAGTGAAAATTCGAACGGTTTTGACAAAATTAAGGGTTTGTTTCTGATTGAATCAGATTCCGGAAGTGCTCAACCTACTTCTTTACCCACAGGCGATAAGTTTCCACGCACCGATTTGCTGTTGTCAGGTTGGCAGATGGTGGAAGAGAATTATCCGTTACCGATCAAAGGACTAATGAACGGTAAATATGTGGGTTATGTTTTAACAAAGGACTCTTACAAGGATGTCACTCCGTTCAGTCCTATGTTCGGTATCGATTGCGAAATGTGCTTAACTACGATCGATTTAGAACTGACGCGTGTGTCGATCGTGGACGAAAGCGGTAGTGTGATATACGAGGAATTGGTAAAGCCTGAGGCGCCGATAAAAAATTATCTGACAGAATATTCGGGTATTACTGCTAAGATGATGAAGCATGTCACTAAGAGGCTGAAGGATGTGCAAGAAGATCTTCGGCAAATTTTACCCCCCGATGCGATACTAGTGGGGCAGTCGTTGGGTAATGACATGCACGCCTTGAAAATGATGCATCCGTATGTGATAGATACTAGCGTTATTTATAATATAACCGGCGACCGTAAACGGAAGGCCAAACTTCAAGTTTTAGCCGAACAATTTCTACAAAAGAAAATACAGACAAATACCAAAGGGCACTGTTCGGTTGAAGATAGTTTAGCGAGCTTAAATTTAACGAAGCACAAGTTGCAACAAAACATCTTCTATGGAGACGCGGTCATGTCAAAAATCGCTAAGCAAGTGCGTCAGTATCCGCACCTGGAAAGTTCAAAGTACGTGACGAGCTTCTTGCGTGAAGTAACGAGAATGGAAAAAACTAGCCTCGTCGTCGGCCTCGAGGATATAACGGCGAGGTACTGCCATTACACGTTTAGGGACAAAATAGTTACCAAGAAAATTTGCTGCATATCGGAAGTTGGCAATCAGTCTGTTATTAATCGATTGTGCGAGTCTGGCGCTCACTATTCTTTTAATATCGGTCACATTCGCTTTAACGAGACTGAATTAGACAACGACCCATCGAAGTTATTCAAAAAGGTGGACGATTGGATACAACAGATCGACAAAAGTATCTGCACTCCGGCATTGCGCGTTGTGATTTTTGGTGGACAAAGAGATTCGGGAAATGGTTGCTTCTTTGTGTCGCTAAAGAAATGTCCTTAATTAATAACCATATTTAATCACAATAAACAAATTTATGTGTTCATTGGTACCTTTTAATCGACAAGAAAAGTATTTTTTTGTACTTTTATAATATCGTTTAAAACACATATCCTAATAGATCTTTTGCTTCTACACTATGAGTATCGTAGATGGCTAAGGAATCTTTGTGTTAATAGCTTGGACCATATGATCTAAGGTTAATAGCATCAATTATAAATTGATATTGTACAGTTTTTATTCGATGTTTGTAAAACATTTTTTCAATAAACTGCCCTCTACAAAATCAGTACCTACTTCAACCCATACAAATGTATGGATCTATTTATTTATCTACAAGGACCTATGTAAACAGCATCCTTTGATTGATTGAGTGGTACCTATGTATGCATAGGTAAACGTATGATACGATGGGGGCATCCCGGCTTCATTTTTTATTTCTGATCCACAAAGTAGGTACATTAAAAATAAAAAGACCCATGTGTCCTCAATTTTTATTTGTGAGTAAAATAAACCCAAAATAAATTATGAAAACCTATGTTTTTAGTCCGAATTTGAAACGCTTCAGTCTAAATACCTTAGAGAATAGAGTAGTCTAAGCTAAATACGTCACAAACCTACATCCAATCACGTAAAAGTGAGCCGGCAACGTTGTGCGAGAGTCTGACGTTTGTCGGATTTGACGTTTTAAAGAGGCATGTTTAAGCCCATCCATTGAATTTATATAACTAATTCAATGGCCCATCACACAATGAAAAAAATATGGAATAAGAAATAGTGAAGCCGTACACGCAAAACACAACAAACAAATAGCAACAGACCAGAACACCATGCCGTTTGAATTTATGTCATTATAATGGCAGCTAAATGTAAGGCAACAGCAGGCTAATTGCACCCACATCAAATATAATTCCAACTTCCAAGTTCATAACTTAACAAAAACAACACCTCATACTTGTTTTATTTTAAGTTAACAAGATAAAATAATAAATATAGAATACGCGTGCGCGCCTCTTCTAATGTCATTGGTATTTGGTTCGCAATATGAATACGGAATAAAAATTCGACCGAACGAAATTATTATTTCTTATTTACTGGGCTTATTTTATATTTCCGTGTTGTGTGCAAATCCATAAAGATCAGTAGATTGAAAATTGTTATTCCTTGTTTCTTATTCCTTATTATTTTGTTATTTCTTATTTCTTATTTTTTGTATATGGGCTACTGCATCTAACGCGAAAGTGAACGACAAGTGACAAGTGTTTATGACAGATGACGCAAGTTACAAATGACATTCTCGTGCAATATTGCCAATTCGTTATGTCATCTGAATGGTTCTAGGAGCTGATTGGTCGGACTGCTACGTCACAAAGCCCGCCACAATCATATATCGTTTTGAATAAACTAAAATAGGACTAAATAATATAGGACTGCGAATCTGCTATACATAAAACGTCATATAACCTCCATATATAAGAAAGAAATATCTATGGCAAAAGTCCTTGCAAACAGCAAAGCCATTGAAAGGTCTTCCAATCCAGTAGGAACAATGTGGAATATTGTGAATTCGTTTAGGGAGTCGAATAAGTCTTGCAAACACAATATAACTGCCGACGATTTTAATACGTACTTTGTCAATGTCACTAATGACCTTCTCAACAGTTTACCGCCGACGAAATTGGGCGTAGTGCCACGTATACAGCTTTAAGCACCATTCCGCAATCATCATCTGTATTCACTCCAACGTTCCCCATCGAGATCAGAGAAATTTTGGCTACACTAAAAAACAGTAACGCTAAAGACATATTTGGTGTAAGTGTGAACCTGTAGCCTGTACATATGTGTCGCCGTTAGTCAAATTAATCAATGCGTCATTGGCTAGTGGAATTTTTCCGGATATTCTCAAAACCGCTGTAGTAACACCTGTTCTTAAGAATGGCGATCCTGGTCAGGTCAAGAATTACCGCCCAATTTCCATTTTACCTGTGTTTTCGAAGGTGTTCGAAAGTTATGTACAAACGAATTACAAACTACTTTGAGAGTCATGGTTTATTTTCACACTAATCAGTATGGATTTAGAACTGAAATGGGTACTACTGACGCCATATTATATTTGGTAACTACCTATCTTCTTTTGAGAATGGTCATTTCATGAATGCTAGATTTATCGATTTTACTTGTGCGTTTGATTGCGTATGCTATGATTCACTTATTCGAAGATTGGATCTCTATAGGTTTGACATGAACAGTGTCTCATTAATAAAATGCTACCTAAGCAAATAGACATCAATGTGTTCGTATCAACGGCAGTAACTCCAAATGTCTCTCTTTAGTTAGAGGAGTACCTCAAGGAAGCATTCTTGGACCACTTCTTTTCATTATATACATATGATCTGCTCCTCCTAATGCAAGTTGTTTATTATATGCTGACGATGCTACGTTGATAATGGAAAGTAGCAATGTTCATAACCTGTTACTTGAATCCAAGTGTTGTCTAGATTCCATAAACGATTGGTGTGCTCTGAATAAGTTATGTATAAACCCTACTAAAACGGAATCATTGTTACTAACTTTAAAACACCACGACATTGTGAATCCAGAATTCTAGGTGTAGGTATATCTCGACGAACAATTGTCATTCCGGTTGCATGTTAATAATATTTCAGCTAAACTCAATAGAAACCTTTTTGTTTTACGTCGCTTACAAAAAAATGTATCCCAGTTTGTTTTACGTACCTAATGCGTACTATGCACTATTTCATAGCGTGATGTCTTACGCTGTTTTGGTGTGAGGCAATTGTTCACATGCTAAATACATTTTCAAATTACAACGTCGTGCTATTAGAGTAATCACTAATTTAGGATATCGTAAAGACTGTCGTCCATGTTTTGTTACATTAGAAATACTTACTTTTCCATGTGTGTTTATCTTAGTGTGTGTATATGTTATAGATATAAAACAAAATATTAATAGATTTCAACAAGAAATACCACATAACTATACAACTAGAGGTAGGATGTTGTTACCGGTGCCGTTCCGTAGACTTACCAAGTCTCAGGAAGGAACAGAAATTATTGGCTTAAAATGTTTCAATCACCTGCCAAATGATGTTAAAGAGTTAGCATTCCCAAGTTTTAAACTGAAGGTTAAGAAATTCCTTAAGGAAAAGGCTTTCTACTCTGTTGAGGAATTCCTTAAGATTACTATACCTACCTTAAGTAATTAAATAATTACTAATTAGATGTAGTTATCTTTAATGTATTGATGTTTGTTGTTTTGACTAGTGCAAGTATTATTTTGTTTTGCAAAGCACGTAATATATATTATTATTATTATCGTCGTTTTTTTACTCACTCATGGTGGTATGCTTCACATTATTATTATTATTATTATTATTATTATTATGGTCGGTGTTTCTTGTGAGAACTCAGGTCTAGCCTGGTTAACTAATCGCACGGATTAAAAATCAAGTAACGATTAGTGTCTGTGTCTGTGTCTGGTGAAGTTATGTAGGGTCCTTAAAAAAAAAAAAAAAAAAATCACACACGTACATTGGACATCTAGGGATAATGTAATTCGTACTTACCAACATACCTATTGATGGGCACAATAGCCAACGCTATCAGGAAAGAGGAAAACAAAACAAAAAAAAATCATTATAATAATTCCTGTAATTTTATTAAATGGAGTTTATTGTGTAAGTGTTTCTTTGGCTTTGCGTTTGGGTTGAATACGAGTGGGTTGTGATAACGTGGTGTGCTTCTGTGAAGAAGGAGTTTTGTGTTTTTTAATTGTATTTATGGTGTTTCTTTGTTCCTGAGGTCGTATTTGTGAGGTTGCTTGGGTTTTTGGTGGAGATATTGCAGTATTTTGTGAGCCTGTGGTGCTGTTAAGGTTTTTGCGTTTCGGTTGTATACGAGTGGGTTGTTTCTGAGAAGGAGTATTGTGTTTTTTAACTGTGCTAGGGCGTGTTATTATTATTGTCGGTGTTTCTTGTGAGAACTCAGGTCTAGCCTGGTTAACTAATCGCACGGATTAAAATCAAGTAACGATTAGTGTCTGTGTCTGGTGAAGTTATGTAGAGTTCTAAAGAAAAATAAAAAATAAAATAAATATTCACACACTCACATTGGAAATCTAGGGATAGTATGTAATTCATACTTACCAACATAGCTATTAATGGCCCCAATAGTCAACGCTATCAGGAAAGAAGAAAACAAAACAAAAATATTATAATAATTCCTGTAATTTTATTAAATAGAGTTTATTGTGTAAGTGTTTCTTTGGCTTTGCGTTTGGGTTGAATACGAGTGGGTTGTGATAACGTGGTGTGTTTATGTGAAGAAGGAGTTTTGTGTTTTTTAAGTGTGCTAGGGCGTGTAACTTTATTGGGTGGACCTGTCTTTGTAGTGCATGTTGCGTTACTTGTATTTATGGTATTTCTTTGTTCTTGAGGTTGTATTTGTGTGGTTGCTTGGGTTTTTGGTGGAGATATTACAGTATGTTGTGAGCGTGTAGTTCTGTTAAGGTTTTCGCGTTTCGGTTGAATACGAGTGGGTTGTGATAACCTGGTGTGTTTATGTGAAGAAGGAGTTTTGTGTTTTTTAATTGTGCTAGGACGTGTAACTTTATTGGGTGGACCTGTCTTTGTAGTGCAAGTTGTGTTACTTGTATTTGTGGTGTTTTTTTGTTCTTGAGGTTGTATTTGTGTGGTTGCTTGGGTTTTTGGTGGAGATATTGCAGTATTTTGTGAGCTAGTAGTGCTGTCAAGGTTTTTGCGTTTGGGTTGTATACGAGTGGGTTGTTTCTGAGAAGAAGGAGTATTGCGTTTTTTAACTGTGCTAGGACGTGTAACTTTATTGGGTGGCCCTGTCTTTGTAGTGCATGTTGCGTTACTTGTATTTATGGTGTTTCTTTGTTCTAGAGGTTGTGTTTGTGTTGTTGCTCGCATTATTGGTGGAGACATTACGGTATTTTGTGAGCCTCTAGTGCTGTTAAGGTTGCTGCGTTTGCGTTGAGTACGAGTGGGTTGTGATAACGAGGTGTGTTTCTGAGAGGAAAGAGTATTGTGTTTTTTAGCTGTGCTAGGCCGTGTAACTTTATTGGGTGAGGGCGTCTTTGTAGTGCATGTTGCGTTACTTGTATTTATTGCGTTTGTTTGTTCAGGAAGTTGTGTTTGTGTGGTTGGTTGAGTTAAGGGTGGAGATATTACAGTATGTTGTGTGTCATGTTGTGAGTCTAAAGTGCTGTTTAGGCTTTTGCGTTTGGGTTGAATATTATTATTATTATTATTATTATTTAAGTAACAGACCACAATTTTAATGATAATCAATATTAGTTGAAACTCGGGATGAATCAGACACACTTCTGTAGAGATTTATTACGATAATGAGTGGAACAATAAATTATGAGAGACATTACAAAAGTATACCTCAGGGTCTGGGCTCAAGCCCCACCCAAAACCCCTCAACGCTCAATGAAAAGTGGTTAGGTTTCAGCTTGATGGGAACTTGAGTTTCCTTAATGACAACTACGTTAAAGTGTTGGAATAACTTAAAAATTAACATCTTCGCCTCGAGTAAGCCAAACCGGTTACCGATGCAGCTTCTGGGACCAATGCCGAAAGGAAGATAAGAACCAGGCTCAATTTTTGACTTGTTCTCGTCACTAAATCGTTCCGGATCGTAACGTTCGGGATTGGGATAAAATTTGGGATCACGGTGCATGCCGAATATGGGTATTCCGACAATGGTGCCCTTTTGTAAATGTACCGGTCTCTCTCCTGGGTGTACCGGCTCGATGGTGAACGGTTTGGTGCAGACGCGATCGGATAAGGTTATACTGGGATATTTTCGCAAGGACTCTAAAATGAAAGATGAAGTTGAGCGATTTTGTACACTCACTCACCGGATAGCACCATGTCGAGGTACTTCATTTTCAACAGACTTTCGTAGGTAATTACCCCATCGTGTTTCCGTAAGGTCTCATCAATTTCCTCTTGTAAGCGTGTTTGCACATCGCAGTTCACGGTAAGTTCGTGAGCAGTGAAACACATCAAGTTGGCGACACTCTCGAAACCCGCAAAGAAAAATAAGAGCGCCTGCGCTATTAAATCGTCATCGGAAAGTTCGATTTTGCTCGCTTCTTTTCCAATGGCCGACTCCTCAATCGACGCGAATTCGGAGTCGATAGCATCGGCGTCGACGTCGTGCTTCAGTCGACCCTTTCTTGCCTCCAGTAGCAGATGGATCATATCTGGTCGCAGAATTCCACTCTTTTCCCTGGCATCAATCGTGGATTTGACTAAATTTCGAAAGAAAGCGTTCGCTTTCGGATTAAAGAATCTGACACCTAAGAACTAATTCAGACGATTGTAAAAAGTTAGTTGATTGAGCTGCTTGCCTTTGCAACACGTGGAAACACCGTGACGATTAATAAGCTAATATTCTTCCAGAAACCCGATAAGTTCGTCAGTTCCTTGCCCATTAGGTAGAACTCATTTTCAGGACACTTAAGCGAATTGCACGACAGCCCAAACGCAGCGGAAGCAATGACGTCATTTGAAAACCTGGTGAGTAGGTCTTTTAGCTCTACGTCAATCCCCGACGAGCCCTTTTCTTGCAAATACCCAATGAATTGCTCTGTACATTCTTCAAAGAGCCTGAACATCCCGCGCATTTTGCTACTGGTAAATGATGGGCTGAGAGTGGATCTCATCGACCTCCAGCGCTCCCCTGCGATGATACGTAAATTTAGACCATTACACAAGACACTCACCTTGTAACAAAAGCAGGGCCCTTCCGAACAACGGTTCCACTTCTTCATTTACAAACGCGTAATGATTGACGAACGAATCAAATTCCTTAATCGCAACCTCCTTCACCAAACCAGGATCCTTTATCAGCAAAAGGTTGGAGGTAAACATGTTAATTCCGATGTATCTGGAAGAACAGTTACAGAAGGAGGCCGAAAAACAAGCGCGCCTATAATACCGTTCCTCGGGGTAGCGTTTTTGCAAATCGGCCAAAGTTTCACATTCGGGCCCAAATTGGAGGAGCAATTTAAAAAAGGTTCGCCACAAATCCAAAGGACCGCACTGTTTCACCCCTTGCCATCTCCAATAAAACGTTATCTTGACGATCAGGTACACAAGCGTCGCGATGAATGTCGTTAAGAACAAAATGCCCAGCATTGTTACACAAAATGGCGTAGTAAATTATACGAAAAGTTGGTTGCTTAGATTCGTTTCCTATAGATTTCAACATATCGAACGAATACGTATCTGAAAAACTACCTACTAGTTTCTCTTGCTTACGCTGCTGTCAAACTTGTGCGTAAGGTGGGTTTCATAACTGGCAGGCATACCAATGCATTGACTTGTATATTTAAGAATTAGACATAGGAGGTTTGTGAAAAGTACGCCACACTTACTACATCCCATGCACATACATCAAACATTTGTGACATACACAATTTTGGATATACAAAATCCAAGATTAAGATGGTTTTTTTTCAGAAACTTACAGGACGGAGTTTAAGAGATTCCACCACAAAACCGAGTTAGTTGGTGATGAACACATCGCAACTACTTGCTAAAATACACATTCCCACTTGTTTTAATCTAATCGCCAATCAAATTTTAGAAATGATAAGTAATGTTTCACTGAGTTGAACTTGTTGAGATTGCGAGGAATGAAGATAGTGCATCTGACCCCGAAATTCTGGAAGCTAGAGATAAATATCGGGTTCGAATCCGGATTCATTCAGGAATGGATAATTGGGTAAGGTTGGTAGCCATGGCTGAACATTCGCCCACTATACACAATTTCAATGACAACTTGTCTCATTATATAATATAGAGGTATAATATTTGCATAAAAAGTGGGGGTTTCGAGACCCATTACATAACAGTATTCCAATAACATAAATATTCAGGAGTTATGAAAAAGTATCACAGTCTGAGAAAAACCATTCATGAAACTCGCTAAATCGCGTCCTATCGAATCAGGGGGATGATTCTCATTCGCGTACCCTGTCAATAACAAACTCGCTTTAGTAGTAACCATCCCTAGGAGATTTTAAGGTTACCGTTTTTCAACAAATGCATCATTAATTTGTAATTTATAAAAGATTATACCAACACAAGAACAAATTCAATAAATATTTTACGCCCCCACAACAGAAACAATACCCTGACCAATCGCACAAGCCGACAATAAACATCGTAATTAGACTTCGTACAAGTTACTGCAATACAAAATCCACACTATATACCTACGTATAGCTGAATCTATGTCACTACGTACAAAATCTGCAAGATACCCTAAATTATCTAAACAACCTATATCTCCCTCCAATCAAAGTCACCTACACCTATGGAAAATTCTACCTTATCTACTAGCATTGACAATTACAATATGCCTTAACTTGTATTAACACTGTACTAATCCTCAATCTTCCCTTAGCAAATAACAAAATCGACCCTGTAGTAAAGATATGCTAAGCAAAATGGAAATTTCCCAAAACGTAATTAAAGCGACATTCGCAACGAAACTTCTAACTACATGGGAAAACATGTACTATCTATAACAAATTCGCTCCTAAATTTCCCTCCCTGCCTTACTGCCAACTCAATCAAAATTAGTGAGTAAATTAGACGAAGGCTCTGCCAATTCAAATTTATGATAACACGCATGTATTAAGTCAACTGGAAATAAACAAAATGGTCTACTTAACTAATGGTACAATTAAAAAAAGAATTTCCTGACTTTATAAACAAACGTACCTACACACCCAAAGCAAACTACGTTCTGCCGCCTCAGCTTAAACTTCGCCACCTTCTTTCTCTTGCTTGAGGAAAGCTCTCTCTTTTACGCGCGACCAATAGAGCGAGGCTTTGTCGCTTTGTGCAGCTTAACATATGCGCTTCCCGGCAAAATATTTCCAGTGGCGTAGCATGCGGTTTTCTCCTTTAATAGAATGCATAAAAGCGGGAATGATAAAATAAAAAAAACTGTCAGATATGCTCACAAACTTTGAAAACCTTTACATCTAAACACACTGAAGGTCAATAGAACATAAGCCCAAGGATTACCCATTCCGCATTTACATCATGTTTAGGAACGCCCTGTATAGGTTGCGTATAGGGAATGCAATACCGGGATCGCGGGATCCCGAAATACCGGGTTTCCGCAGCTTTTTTGCGGGATTAATCCCGCACATAAATGGAGCGGGATTTGCGGGACTGAGGAATTTGTCGACCAAGGGGACGACTCTGTTTGCTTTGTTAATGAAACGCATAACGGAGAAATTATTTTTAACATAATTGTTAAACTTTTTTCGTTAAAAATGTACTATGATTTTTGAGGCACCTTGAGTTCACCTTTTTGTGCTTTACAGGTAATTTTTTTGAGTTTTAAGTTAGGCTGAAGGTACTTTTTTGTTGAATAGGTACTTATTGTGATAATTAGCGATTTATTTTAATACAGAAGTTAACCGCACAAAATTGCTTAGGTATTTGCCAATTTATTTAAAATTTTTCGGGATCCCGCAAATACCGGGATCCCGCGGGAATAACATCTAACGATCCCGCAAATACCGGGATTGAGATTTTGCTGCGGGATTGCATTCCCTATACGCACCCAAATTAATAAGAAAAAGTGCTTCCCGAGAAATTTTGGTGTAGTCGATTTTTGGTAAAAAAGGAAGGTTATACGCTGCCTTTTTTTGAGCCCCGAAAAAAAAATTGTCTCAGATCGACTCGGAAAAAAATTTTTCTTATAGAATGTGGCCTGTAGAATCCATAATTTCAAACAGTTCCAAGATTGGGCTACTAGTTCAAAAGTTACAGCCCTTTGAATTTTTTTTCGAAATTCGATTCTAGTCTATACCTTTTGATTGAGAAGTCTGATCGAAAAAGTATGAATTGATTTGGATTCTACGCACCTAGGGAATGCAATACCGGGATCCCGCAGCTTTTTTGCGGGATTAATCCCGCACATAAATGGAGCGGGATCCCGCGGGATTTGCGGGACTGAGGAATTTGTCGACCAAGGGAACGACTCTGTTTGCTTTGTTAATGAAACGCATAACGGAGAAATTATTTTTTATATAATTCTTAAACTTTTTTGTTAAAAATGTACTATGATTTTTGAGGCACTTTAGAAGTTCGCCTTTTTGTGCTTTACAGGTGAGGTTTTTTGGAGTTCTAAGTTAGGCTGAAGGTACTTTTTTGTTGAATATTGTGATAATTAGCGATTTATTTTAATACAGAAGTTAACTGCACAAAATTGCTTAATTGCCAATTTATTTAAAATTTTGCGGGATTCCGCAAATACCGGGCGTCCCGCGGGATTAACATCTAAGGATCCCGCAAATACCGGGATTGAGATTTTGCTGCGGGGTTGCATTCCCTAGCTGTAAAGGATCGAAAGCAGTACAGTAACGGTGGGGGGCACCTCTACACGCACATACAGATTGATCATGATCGACCTAAGGGTTTACGTAAATCGCCCGATTTTGAAGAGCACTCCTTTTTTTGTCATTCAATTCAACCTCTATCGAACTAAGATTTGACACGGTACGCGGACCCCTACCTCCTCCGAGGACTATGATATGCCCCCTAGGAAACTAGGAATCGATACTGACGCTTTTGAGAGTAGACAAACGTAGTTACGGAGGGTTTCGGGGGTATGGGGGCAATACCCCCAGCAAACTAGTGCTCGATCTTTCCTTCTCTATTATCTCTACCACCCTCATGGAGATATGTTGCAAACACTAACCGAGTATTCGTATACCTCCGGACCCCCCAGACCCCGCGGTATTGTTTCCCACAAGAGAGTTCGATCTTGCAAACTTTCATTATGGTTTTTGAGAGTAGAAAGTGAAATATAGTAAAGGGGGTCTGGGGGGTTTTGAATACCCCTCAGAAATACCCCCAGTAAACTAGTACTCGATATTTTCTTCTCTAATCGAAGGTATTGGGGGGCCATTCCATATCCCCCAGACCCCCCTGGTGCTGCTTTCCTACTGCCCGGCCTTGAAAATTTTCACTACGGTTTTTGGGAGTAGGCAGTCCGATATGGTACCGGGGCCAGCCAACTAGTTCTCGATACTTTTTCTCTGTTGTCTCTAGCAATAGTGTGGCAGACTTTGGCAAACATTAATCGAGTGCTCGTAATACCCCCCAGACCCCCCCCCCCCCGCGGTAATATATTTCTTTTTCTATGATCTCTAGCGCCCTCATGGCGGTCTGTGGCAAAGAGTAATCGAATGCTCGACTATTCTTTACCCCCCAGCCCTCCGGTACTACGGAATACCTCCCAGCAATACCCCCAACAAGCTAGTACTCGTGATTTATTTCTCTATTACCTCTAGTACTCCCATGGCAGTTATTGGCAGGTAGTAATCAAATGTTCGTATACTGGGGGATATTCAATACCTCCCCCCCCCTCCCAACCTCCCGGTACTACGTCTTAAAAACAGTCATTATGGTTTTTGGGAGTAGACAGTCGAATATAGTACCGGGGTGTGCAGTTTGGTATAAAATACCTCCCAGTAATACCCTCGGTAAGGAATACCCCCCCCCCCCTTCCAGCTCAAACCCCTCAGTAGTGCCCTAATAAACTCGCACCCAATATTTTTTCTGTACTCTATCTAGTACCCTCGTTACGGTTTTTAGAAAACAATACTCGAATGTTACACTGAGGTGGGGGGGGGGGTACTGCTTTCCCATAAGAGCATTCATTGTGGGTTTTGGTAGTAGACAGTCAGATATAGTACCGGGAAGTCATACTCCTCAGACCCCCCGGTACTGTTTTCCCAACTGAGCGCTCTGCCTTGAAGAGATTATTGTCTTTGAGAGTAGACGGTCAAATATAGTACCGGGGGGTCAGGGAATACACCCAGCAGTACTCCGAGTAAACTAGTACTCCGTATTTCTTTCTCTGGTACCCTAGCACCCTCATCACGGTCTTTCGCAAACAGTAATCGAATATTTGTATACTGGAGGGTATTCCATACCTCCTAGACCCCCCCCCCCCTCTCCAAAAACTCAGGCCTCCGATATTATTATTTCCACATTGAGCGCTCTGTCTTAAAACATTCGCTTACGGATTTTGGCAAGGAGATCGTCAAACATTAAGTCACGGGAATACCCCTCAACGCACCTTCCGTAAACTACTAAGTACTCGATACCCAGCATACCAATTTCTTCTATGTATCTTTGACTGTACTAGGGGGTATTCTATACCCCCAGATCCCCCCCCCGCACTGTCTTCCCACAAGCACGTTAGATCTTGAAAACATTCATTATGATTTTTTGGAATAGACAGTTATATAGTATTGAGGAGGGGGGTCTGGCAGGTCTGGAATACTCCTCAGCAATACCCTCAGCAAACTAGTACTCGGTATTTCTTTGGCAAGCAGTAATCAAATGTTCCTATACTGGATGGTATTCCATACCTCCTAGACCCCCCACCCCCTGGTGCTGTGTTCCCACAAGAATGTTAGGTCTTAAAACATTCATTTTTTGAGTAGGCAGTCAAATATAGTTCCGGGAATACTCCCTAGCGGCATTCTCAGTAAATGACCGCTCGATACTTCTTTTGATCTTATCTATAGCACCCTCATGGTGGTCTGTCGCAAACAGTAATCGAATATTCGTATACTACCCCCCCCCCCCCCATACTGTGTTTTCCCAACAGAGTGCTCTGTTTTGAAAGCATTCATTATGTCTGTTGGGAGTATACACTACTCAAATATAGCACCGGGGGGGTCTGGGGGTTATGCAATACTCAGTACTCAGTAAACTAATTCCTTTCTTTGTTATCTCTAGTACCTTTATGGTAGTCTTTGTCAAACAGCAATCGAAAGTTCGGATACTGGGGGGTGGGGGATTCCATACCCCTAGACCCCCATTATCATGTAGTCCTACAGGAGCGCTGGGTCTTAAATTGTTTTTGGGAGTATATAGTCGAATATAGTACCGGGGTGTGTACTTTGATATGGAACCTCCCAGCGATAATAATAATAATAA